GGACTTCAACTCCCAGCATCCCCCAACCAGCAAGGGATGCTGGGAGTTGAAGTCCACCCATCTTAAAGTTGCCAAGGTTGAAAAACACTGGTCTAGATCCACCACTCTCATGGATTGGGTTCCCACATTTCGCTAAGCCACAGTTTGTGGAACACACTAACCTGGGCTGGGTTCACAAGCACATCATAAAGCATGGTTTACCAACCGCAATGGCTGGGTGTACACACAATATGCTAAACCAGATTTAAGCAAACCACTAGAGTTTAGCGTGCTGGATGGCCCCAGCCACCGGCCCAGCGCTTTTCTTTGAGGGCACTGCGCCCGTCCTCTGGGATTCAAACCCCAGCACTGCAAAAAGACCCTTTCCCGGGAATTCATCCAGAAAAAACCCAGGATGGATAGCAAAGCTGACCTTGAAGAAGGGGGAGGATTCTCCAAACCGAAACGGGTCCCAAGCTGGCAAACTGTCCCAGGGAGCATTCCATGAAGAACAGCGGGAGGCCGGCCAGGGCCAGCATGAGAGTGTAGGGGATCAGGAAGGCTCCTGCAAGAGAAAAGCATCAGGGTGAGCATTCAGCGTGCCACTTTTCACAAGGGGCTGAGTCAGCATGGGCATGTATGCCAGCATCTCTTTCAAGGGCACCAGCCTGTGGAAGGGCCAGAGAAAGAGACAGCTACTAACTGTGATGGGCAGAGATCCCCAAACAGCCAAAAATCTAGGGAAGCCAGCATTTGGTATCAGGCCAACCTGTTGGCACCTGCCTAGAGGTTTAGAGAGGAGACCTGGGGTGCCTGTATGCCAGGCTGGGCTCGGTTTGTCCTGAAAAATAACTGAAGCTTGATCTGTGTGCCAATGCCAGGAGGGTGGTTTCCCCCTCAAGGACAATCCACGCCATCCTTCAGACACATCGCATAGTTTGCCCGATGAATGGGATGAACCTGGCTGTCCTTGGAAGAAAGGAGCTGAGTGTGGCCTGCGAGTCACACTAACCGTGCCTTGTTCCCAAGCCATTGTGTTCCTCTGGGTGTGTAGTAATTTGTGCCCAGAAATATTTGTTTTATGGTTGCTCTGATTGTTATATTCTATCTTCCAAACCAAAACAAAAACAGACACACAGAAGTTAATGAATGGGAGGAAAAACTGAGGGTAGCCATAAAACCTTCCAGCAGAACACCAAGTCCAGAAGCCCAGAAGCCTTTGGCTGATGCCCAAATGCCAATGGAAGGGGAGGAAAATCTAGCTCTTGATGGGAAGATTCACTATGTCAGTGTTCCTCAACTTTGACAACTTTAAGATGGGTGGACTTCAACTCCCAGAATTCCCCAGCCAGCCAACCAATTCTGGGAGTTGAAGTCCACCCATCTTAAAGTTGTCAAAGTTGAGGAACATCGCACTATTTTGAGATTATTTTGAAAAAGGCCCAGTAGAGTGTGGAGTCAGAACATAAGCCTGTCTGGGCACATCTGTAAATTCAGAAGTTGCTGATGCCAAGTTCCCAAACAGCTGAGAATGCCAGAATAACCAGTTGATGCTATGCTCCTTGGTGTGCAACTTTTTGCACCCAGTCCATACATTCATTTCCTGACCCAACAGTCAGAAAAAGGGGGAGGAGGGAGATAGCATGGGGGGGGGGTATCCGAAAGAATGGACTGGTGGTGCGATCCCAGGATCCCCTAAACCTCCCACTTCCAAACCTACTAAGAGCTCAGTGATCAGAGGCCGGGGGTGGCTGGAATTCTCTTAACCTTCTCCATTACTAATAACAGCAGAAGGATTTCTATAAAACAGTAGGAAAATGCCTACCAATATCTCTAAGACGAGCCTTGCAAAGAAGCCCACGGTGTTAATGGGCCACCACTGTTATTACTGGCCGGCCAGCTGATGCCTTGAGATCTGGCCTGGTCACCTGGGGAAAGAGCCAGCTGCCTCAGCCAGCCAGGTGAGCAGCTGCTGAAAGGTCCCTGGGATGCCTTCGGCTGCTCTGGCAATGCGAAGGCTTCTTTCGGACGGGGAAGCCTCAGGGCGATGAGTGGGACAGCCCCTTACCTCCTCCATTCCGATAGGTCAGGTATGGAAACCGCCAGACGTTGCCCAGGCCCACAGCGTAGCCAACCATGGAGAGGAGATAGTCCGCTTTGCTCGACCAGTTGCCCCGTTCCGTATTCTCATCCTTTTCATCAGCAATTTTCTCAGTGGACAAAGTGAATTCCTTTGGGAAGGAGAAGAGCAGAGTGAGTCCATCTTCCTCTGGACAGCTGACCTCCTGCCCTTCGCTCCCCTCCTAAGGTCCCCGACGGTCCGGGGCAGAGAAAAAAGGCGCCCTGGTCTGCTCAGGGGTCCTCTCAGGTGAGGCGGGCTGGCAGCCTGCAGCGTGGCCCAGAGACCTGCCAGCGGGGAGCTGCTGCTGGTGTTCCTGCAAGGACTGGCACTGACCCTTAAAGCTTTTAGGACTTTCGGGCTGTCTTTCGGCCGCCTGGGCAGGAGAAGGGCCTTCAGGAGCTGCCCCGGAACAAGGCTCCCCGGGGCTCCAGTTTTGGGGAGG